CTACATCACTTCATGCAAACTAGCAGCCTCCAGGTCATGTTGCATTAAATATTATTACTGTTTGTCTAAAAGCTGAGTCATTCCACAGATTGCCTGCAGGCCTGTGAGCTCAGCTGTTCTGTGGGTCTGCTAAAGACGTTCAGCAGCATAGTGATGTATCTATGTATTCACAGAACTGCATTTCAGCTTTGACTGAGAAGGTTCAAGGAGTTTTCTATCATAGGGATGTGGCGCCATCTATTGTTGACAACAAAAAACAAAACAGGGCTGCTGCTTATCTGGGACACAAACACGTACAGGCTCAATACTATGTGGTAATGTTTGGTTTTGGCACACGAACATTGTGTTGAACAAAGTCAGCGAGATGAAAATGGGTTTCAGCATAAGTAAACATGAATATGCACCGAGCTTAACATATCTTCAAGGACAGATTGTACAGAATGTTTGCATCAGACGTTCTGTGAACTGTCTCATGTCCTGGTTGCAGACAGAAAGGAGCCCAAAGTCTCTGACCATGCTGAGACTTGGTGGTCTGCACATGTGATCATCAGTGGTGAAAAGATACCAAATACATTTAATGAGCAGCATATATAAGGACTGATGTTAAAGATAATGTCTGGTGACTTCTGTGCGTGTAGAGTAACAACTGTAAGGACTAAGAATCCAGTGGAGGAGAGGGAACACATTTACTTACACTTTACTGGAGTATTTCTGCTTCACAGTGATTAATAATTCTATCCAGCTGCACTTGATATTGAACATTTACATTTATTTTTAACCACTACTTTGAGATATTTTTCACAAAAGCGACCGAAATGATAAGCTTATAAGACGTATTATATTGTTACAAATGAAAGCAGGGTTCATTACATGACTCTGACTCGAGAGATGAGATATTGAATTTCCCTTCTGGGATAAATAAAGTATTTTTCATTTCATTTCATGAGTTCCGGAGTCATTTTGCTATGTTTCAAACGTATCATCATACAACCAGAAAGATGTTCCCACTTGCAGCCTTTCAGATGATTTATTGTATGTAACTGTTTGAGGTCAGAAATGGTCAAATTATCCAACATTTATCAATAAAAAATAATTAAACAAACATAAAAAGAATATAAATGAGCTTTATTATGTTTCCTGCTATATTAGTCACCTGATGACCCCTCTTCTTCATTCTATGACCTCATATCAGGTCATTTTAAAGCATGCTATATAATTGATTTGAATTATTTGGATTTGATAATCCATCGATGGCTCCACCAGGCTCAGCCAAAGTAAGGAACAGCACACATCCCGTTTAACCAGTTAGTGTAATGATGCTGTATAACAGCTAAAACTAGTCTCACAAGTACTCTGTTAAACACACAGACAACGTGTTTGTTTTGTTTCTGGGGCAGGCCTAGTTACAGCTATCTCGGGTTTTATGGATCCATATGATAGTGTAGGATTTTCTAGGCCTCCTGGATGACACAGGTGGATGAATTAAAGGGTGACTCATCAGCTGGTGGCACACTTCATTTGGTAACACACATTTCTTAAGATCTATTACTCACATGTGTTGTGTTTGTCATAACTGCATGACACATGATTCAGACATGTGATCCGCTGCAAGGACAGTTGTGTCGTTGTTTTTGTACATTAACATCTGAAATAATCAGTATCCTGAAGAATAAAAAGAAAGAATCCACTCTTTGTCCAGTGGGAGCGATGGTGGATCAGACAGTTTCTAACTATCTAAATATGCTGACTTAGTAAATGTCAACAATCTTTGTCCAGAGCCACAGACTCCACCTTTAACTGACATTTTAAACCTCACTCT